GACTCGTAGAAAAAGTTCCCTAGAAATTATTTCTGGATATTCCACTAAGAGTAAGTGCATGTCCTTGTTCACTGTCCTCACTATATTTCATAATATGAACTCATTCGCTGTCGCCATCGAGCTTGCGATAACACTTATAGTATTTGCTCTATGTTGGAACAGCTACCTATTTCCTAGCTCAATTCAATAGTGGAGTTTTTTTTTTGAGAGAGAGAGCAGCTCTGAATGTGCAAGATCTCTACCTTGCAGCCGTTCAGACAATGTCGTAATGCATAGTAAGATCCGTCCAGGATCTCACTGAGCTCCAAGCTTGTACTATTTTCCGTATCAAACTTTGGTGTTGTCGCCTGTCTAGGAGACAATCATGCAGCTGTATGAAAATTGAATGTGCTCGTCAATATTTAGTTGGAATTATCGGGGTTGAGGTCAATAAGGTGTGTTGAATTTTTCTAGCAGTCAACTTTGTATTTATACGCACGCTGATTGTCTTAGGCGCACCTTGAGTGCAATAGTAAATAAATAAATAAATAAATAACAAGGTGTGCCTGATTCAGTTTTGAATGAGAAGGGAATAAGTTCTATGGCCTCCCTCGCTTTCCACCCTGTATGGAACCTTCTTGTTTGTTGTCTTTCCAAGATTTTTTATTATGCATAGTGCCTCGGTTTTACCCCATTGGTAATTCATGAAGGCTGAAGAACGGAGAGTGTGTGACGCTCACCTTCCATCAAAAACGCATCTTTTCCGGAATCCTCATCCAGCACAAGCACGGCGTCATTTTTTCGATAACATGTGCGATTGGCCAGTATCTACAATACAAACACAGTGACATAGCGAGTCGTATTTATCGTAGCACCCTTTTCTTTCTAGTCCTTATGAGGCAGAAATTTCCAAAAAAGGTAAGCTAAACAAAATTGTAGATTCCCTTCCTTTGTTAAGAATTGTAATATGTGATTCTGTGTAGCGATAAGAGGCAAAGCTCGAACAGTCAGCCTCCGAGGGGAGTTTGAACAGGGGGACGCCGTGGGGGCGTGTCAGCCTCGGACTCGCCTTCTATCGTTACACTTCTACCATGAAATCGTTTTTTT